TCTCTCAGGTGTTTGTAGTGGCCAGCCAAGCTTTGAAGTCCTGGCAACAGTAGAACCAGCATGTCTATGGACACACACAGATAAGCCAGTGCTGGCTTTATGGAAAAAAATGACCTGAAACAAAAGGCCTGGGCTTGCATTTGTCCACTGGAGATGCATTAAGAGAAAGCAGCAAGGCTGGCCTTCAACGTGGGAAAAGTCAGACTTGAAGAAATGTGTGCTTATCAGTCTTTGTGGAGCCAGAGGCCTGGAACTGTGACGGGGGGGGCGAGGGGGAGCCATCGCCGCCACCGTTATGGAAGATTCATAGCGATGAGAATAATAATAAGAAAACGCATGCACACTGTGTGCTCCCCGCTGACGCCTGAGTAGGAGGAACTGCTCCCTGTAAAGTCGATGCCTCGTTTCAGAACAAGCTAGTGACACATCAAGCCGCCATCTGCGCATCCCTGGCTGATCCGAGTGGGGCACCAGCCAGGTGCGTCACTCTTCATCGGGGCGGTGCTGTGGGAGCTGAGGCTCCTGGCGAAGGAGAGCAGGAGGGGGGCAGGTCCGCAGGAGGCTTGATTTGGAGAAGCTGGGCCACCAGCTGCCACAACCCCTGTTCCGTTAGCCACGCCATAGCCACGAGTGTCCTGTCTAGAACCACGGTGTCCAGCCTTCAAGGATTTAGGGCCTCCTGGTGATCGTTTGACGACCAAGGAGAGTGTCACACGGAAAAGCAAGTGCCAAGCCTACCCGTCTATCTCAGAATCTCAGCTGTGGTCCTGGCAAAAGGGCAAGGTGACTCAATGCTTTATGAAGAGGCTGTGGCAAGCATGTGGGTAGCCCTTGCCTTGTAAATCCTTCACTGTTGGGACTTTCCTGTCCCTACAGGCTGACTGAAGCCCAATAACGGCTGCCTTCCCTCTCTTTCTGTGACATCATTCCACACACGCTGCCTTTCTTTTTTCCTGTCTCTTTCTGCAATGCAATTAATTAGCTAGGTTTGGTCGAGCCTGAGTTTATAAATTTGAACACCTAAAAAATGGCTATTGCAATAGATTTCCCTTTAAAATGACATTTATAATATACTGTGGACGTGGACAGCCTTTCTTGTCCCTCCCCCCACCCTGCCCCGTCTCAACAGTGTTTCTTAAACATCAGGCAGTATGTTTTAGTTTTGTGAGCCCATAGAACGCCTCTTGCGACTACTAATCTCTGCCACTGCCACACGAAAGAAGTCATAGATAACAGAGCTAGTGATGTCTCAGCAGGAGAGGCACTGGCTGCCAGGTCTGATAACCTGAGCTCAATCTCCAGTCTCCACGATGGGAGGAGAGAACCCATTCCCAAAAGTTGTTCTCTGACCTCCACTCCAAGGAGGTGTGCCCAAACTCACACAGCCACACAATAAATAAATATATTTTAAAGGATCCTTTAAAAAAAACTATCTACTTAGAAAAAAAAGAATCCATAGGTAGTACTGTACATGAATAAGCATGGATGTTTCAGTAAAACTTTATTTATAAAAACAGACCGCAGGCTTGCCAAGCCCCCTCCATTCTATTCAATGACCATATCCATTCAAGCAAGCAAACAGAAATGTAGTTATTTGATGAAACATTGGAAGGGAAGTCAGTGACTTTCAAGGGTGAATGTGTAGTCGGGTCAATCCACTGAAGGGGAAAGTCTGACAACTCCCTTTTCTGCTCTGCTTCTTAATGACTACTAGGAAAATGGTCTTGCCAGCTGTATGTATCAGTGACTCCAATGGAGAATAACTATAAAGCAGAATCACCCAAGCTCAGACTAAACTGTCGTTAGAAACTCAAGCAGATGAAGAGTGGAATATCAACACTGGTAAATGCCTAGATTTTTAGATTTCTTAAAAGCAAAACAAAACAAAAACCAAGAAAATGCTCTTGGAATAGTGAATTATTTGTAGAGGAATACTGCAGCTATTTTCTGCATCCGTTGCATACACCAAACAACAACAAAAACAGACAGGCAAGCAAGAACAACAAAAACCCATGGGCTAGAGAGAGAGAGATGGCTCAGTGGTTAAGATCGATGACTGCTCTTCCAGTTGAAAAGAAAATCCCTCTCAGGGATTTGTGGAGATGGCTCAGAGGATGCAGTGCTTGCAGCGAGAGCTTGGAGCCTGAGTTCTGATTGCCAATACCCACAGAAAAGCTTGACAGGGTGGTGTACACCCGCAACCCTGGCTCTGTGTTATGAAGACAAGTGGTCTTATTGGTCAGCCAGTCTAGCTCAACCAGTGAGCTCCAGATTCAATTAGAGACCTTAACTGGAAAAAAAATACAGTGGAGAGCTAATTGAGGGGGGAAATGCTGCTTTGGCCTCTTGGCTCTGCACAGACACACGTAACCACACTCACACATATACACACAGTTAAAAAATATAAAAAAATATTAATGCTTTAAAAATCACAATCCTATTCAGTTCTGAGTCCAAGGATCATCCCGGTTATTCTTTTGGTCTGGGCTAGGCTTTGGTGACACGCACGCCCGCTCAGAGTCTGTGGCCAGCAGGCTGGTTGGTAGGAGCCGGGATGGTCTAGGAGGGCTTTCTCATCCAGCAGACAGGCGCCCACCAGCTAGGTAATGGGAGCCAGAAGGGGCAGCTGTACATCTCGCCACACCGGTTCTCCAGCAAGCTGGCTTTACCACTTTTACACCACAGTCACAGAAGAGGGTCGACCAGAAGCCCGGAGTCCTGCAGCCTACATTTATGACCTTCGTACTAGCTGCATTCTGTGCCCAAGCAAGATGCGAGTCTAGCCCATGCTCTCAAACTAGGGAAACAAATCATGTCTCTTTCTGGGAAGAGTGCAAGGCGCGGATACACACAAAACCAGCACTGCAGCCCACTGGCCGCAGAGCCTATGAGAACAGTCGGAGTAAAGGCAAGGCAGGCAATCTGATTGGCGGTTACCTTCATCGACTGGGGGGAGCAAACTACAAGCAGGATCGATGAGGGCTTTCGCAGTGTGCAGCCTGCTCTTACCATTGGGTGCACGCAGGTCTTACTTCTGTCCCGTCTGCAGCCTGTCCAAACCCCTGCAATTTTCCCCGTGTGCCCCATTGTGCTCACTGATCAAGAAAGCTCTGGATGCGAACATTCAGGCCGACAAAAACGGGAATTGGGATGTCACTCTCTGATTGACAAGAATTCTTTTCACTTTTGACAGAAGATTTCATTGTGGAGTTCCTTAAAACAGCGAGTTCTCTATTCAGCGTGTGATTTGCTTTACGCAAATCTGACATAAAAATGTTCTGGGCCCTCCTATCACGTGGAACGCCACACATCCTTTATCCAGCTGTGGACTACTCCTGGGTGTTCGAAAGGATACTCTTGGCTTGGCTTCTCCTCACCACAATTGTATATAGAAAGGGGTCAAATCTACAGCAGTGGTGCCTTTACTGTTCTTTTTAGGGAGTAAATCCACCAAGGGGCTTGAGGACAAATGTTGGCCACAGGGTCAGGGGCTGTGAAGTGTTGCTTCCACTTGGGAGGGGAGATAGCAGGGTTCTAGAAATGACTATAGGCTTGTAGCCCGTCATAATTTGAATTCTGTTGACAGCCATTCTCTTTGTTAAAGCCCAAGCTTTTAACTCTTCTTGGTGTGACTCATGGTACCTCTTGTGTTTGCCTGTGCACAGTTCTACCTGTTAATAAGTGGTTTCTCTGGGTCTTCATTTTCTTTTCTTTTTTTTTTTTGTTTTTTGTTTGTTTGTTTTTGCTTTTTGTTTTTGTTTTTGTTTTTTGAAACAGGGTTTCTCTGTATTGTTTTGGAGGCTCTCCTGGAACTCGCTCTTCTGGAGGTAGTAAGGGAAGGGGTGCTTTCTTAGGAGTGGTGGCTGAGAGTAGGGGGTGCAATTCTTTCATCTAAGACTTTCATCGCTAGAAGCAAGTACTTCTTATTCTACTATAAGCAAAATAAGAGCTTTTCCTCACAGCACACCCTAATGTGTACGGAAATGGGAAGACACCACAATGCAGGGAAACCTTTGAGAGCCTAGGCAAGAACTCAGAAGGCAGACATAGGACTCAGAAGGTAAGTCACAATGACAAAACAGAAAGGAAGCTAACCGTAGACTTGGAGGAAAGTTCTAGAATCCCACAGATGCTGAATCCTAAGGGAAATCTAGAAATACAAGAGAAGGGTTGTTGGGAAGATGCACACAAAAACATTGCCAAAGCACTGATCCTTGGGTACCATGATGAACACATGTATTTTTTCTCTCCAATACCCATTTTCATTTTTCTCCAATTATAAAATTAGCATGAATTCTTCATGTCAGAACTTTTTTTTTCAATATTTGAGAAAGAGCCTACATTTCTTTTTTAAATTTTTATTTAAATTAAAAACACTCTTACATACCAATCCCAGTTCCCTCTCCCTCCTGTCCTCCCATTCCCCCCACCGACCCCCAACCCACCCTACCCCCATCTACTCCTTAAGGAAGGTAAGGCCTCCTATGGGGAATCATCAAAATCTGTCACATCATTTGGGGCAGGACCTAGGCCCTTCCCCCCTTGTATCTAGAGAGCCTATATTTCAAAGAACAGAATATAGATAGAAGGCTGGACACTGCTGATTAAGTCTGGACCAACCCACTGATATTGTGCAATATCTCAGAAGGTATTTTCTACAGGTCGCCTAAATTTGTAAGTCCAGGCAAACATCCCTTCCAAATGCAGACACAACCTAGACCATATGTCTTAAAACTACATGAGACTGAGTCTAACTTATTACAGATTTAATTAAGAGGCTCTCAGCATTGAAACCCTTACCAGCTCATTCAGTTGAGCTGGGTTCAAGTCCACAACTATTATTTATTCAGCACTGGGGAGTGAGAGGTGTCAAGATTCTTAAGACTTCACTTGATCCCTGTCCTTAAGAGGCTCAAAGCCGTGTAAATGAGGCAGCAAAGAACCAGCCAGATGATAAAAGGTCCCCAGCCAGTTCACTCCGCCCATCCCAGTCCGATTACCTCAATCCCAGAGACGTGAAGACGTTCAAGTAGCTCTTCAGTGGTAAGGCTGTTTACCGCCCCCGTTGCTCATCCGCGGTCACCACCAGCACAGACACCATCAGACACCATCGAGCTCTAGTTTTTATCCCATGGCCTCGACTTTTAGATCTTGTCCCCGCCTTCCCCTATCTGGTGGGGCGGGGTTGGGGTGGGGTGGGCAGGCTCACCCTTCAGCACGCGAGAGTATTCTGGAACGCTTCACATTGTTGAGATCGACCACGTCCTCCTGCTTTGCCTCTGCCGAGGTTCCGCGTCACAGTGTGCTCCCTTCCCAGCCAATGGCAACTGACCTCCCATACAGCTTTACGGGGCCCGCCCTGGGGTCTACTAATCGGTGTCTTCCCTTCCTAATCAGCTCCACAGAATAGAAGTCCAGAACCAGGAAGCATTAAGGAAGAAATGAATTCAGGCCAGGAAAGACTACTTGGGACATTCTCCTAAGCCTGGACCTGGGGAGGAAGGTTGAGATGTCAGAAGGGGCAATGGGGGAGGGGGCGAGCTCTGGAAGGAAGCATCCAGAGATGTCAGAAGGGAAAACTTGGGTCTGCAGTCCGCTCTGGGACTGATGAGCTGGGGGCGGTATGACCAGCAGCTTCCCCGCAGGGTCTTTCAGCCTAAGGAGTTTGAAGTGCACCTCTGTGTTCAGTGGAGATGATGGATTGGAGGGGGAGCTGTGGAGTTTGGGGTGTCGGGAATGGGAACCCAGATGAGCTGGTGATGGGGGAGGTCCTTCGGTGTCCATGTTTCTCTTATTGGCTGATGAATAAAGCACCGTGTCCAATAGAGGCAGGGAGAGAGGTGGGACTAGGAGATGAGGATAATTCTGGGAAGTGTAGGCAGACAGTAGACGCCATGTGAGACCCTTCTCTGGTAAGATAAGACCACGTGGAAATACTTAGATTAATAGAAATGGGTTAATAAGAAATGGGAAATAAATAATAATAAAATAAGAAGCCCTATTCATCAACCAACAGTTTCATAACGAATATAGCGTCAGTGTGTTTTATTTGGGGCAACTTATGGGGGACAAGAGGCTTTCTGGCAACAAGCTGGCTTGTTGCTGTTGCTGTTTGCCAATTTGTCACAAGCCAGAGTCCTCTGGGAAGAAGAACCATCAACTGAGAAAATGCCTCCATTAGACTGCCTCTAGGCAAGCTTTGCAAACCATGAAAAGTGAGCCAGTAAGCAGCACTCCTCCAGGGTCTCTGCATCCGGAATCTCTGCCCTGTTTGAATTCTTGCCTTGGTTTCCCTCCGTGACCAAAACGATCAGGTCAGGAAAATCTTACAAACTGAAGTTGCTTTCTGTCATGATGTTTATCACTTCAATGGGAAGAAAACCAGGACACCAGATATCTCTCAAAGGTTTTCACATACAGCCTTTGTTCTCAAATTCCTCTAGAAACCGGCTGGCCCAGAGGTGAGGCCTATTAGGGACTCATAATCAGCTGGAGGAGGCCTCCCCGGGAACGTGCTCCAGCAATAAAACCTCTTCCACATCCTCCACTCTGCAGAATAAACACTGTGTCTAGGCAGATCTACAGGAGTGCACAGCTAAGCCTCCAGACATCAAAATGAAGCTTCACTTAAAGTCATTCCATGCACAGTTTAAGCACATGAACCCAAGGACCTGCACCTATCAAAAGAAACACATGAGAAGGAGATTTTATTTTCTCAGGAGATAGACGCAGCATTTACCCTCTGGTCAACCTCTATCATAGGAATGTTAGTCAATAGATCAGCTAAAGAAAACGAGGCAGACAGGTGAGTTGGTCTTGGGGAAGAAACACATTAGAAACATAATCCCCCTGGAGTCCCTCTGAAAATTGCTTTTGCTGATCCAGGATAGAGGAAAAAAACAAAGTGCATTTGATGAACTCAGCTGAATAAAACCCTTGGAAATTATTTGAATTTAAAAGATTTCTGAGCAGAGCTTAAGAGCATTCAACTGTTTTGGGGAGCTTTGGAGGATTTTTTTTTCTTTTCCTTGTTAAGGGAAAGCACATATGTACACACATACACACAAGGCCACATGCAGGTAGGGAATGGTGTCTCTATAAGGGAGTGACATCAATCTTGGGAAATTGTTTACTGTCCATGTCCTATATGGAGAGAGAAAAAGAGAGCTATGAAGGCACAGAGAGAAAAGAGGATGATGATTTTCTTTTCTTTTTTTTTTTTTTTCTTTTTTTGGCTAGGAAATACCAGGTCCTCAACATCTGCTCTCAGTGAGTGGGCCTTACCCCCATGAGTCTTCGCTCCAGGGCCACCTCTCTAAGGAGCCTACTCTGAGCATCTTACTTTTAAACTTCCTTTACTTCCTTGCAGGCTTCATCGGGCATCTGATCCACATAGTCTCTCTTATACTAGCAGGTATGGGCAAGGTCGTCCCCAAGATGTAAGTGCCCAAGGTATACACACTCTTGCCTGCTGGCTTCAATAATTTGTCCCCTGTTACGTTCCAAGGTCTATTGTATAGCTGACTGGTAGAATAACTAGAAGTATAGCCCTGGGCGCCCATGGTCCCTGGATGGTGCTTAGCTAGCTAGGGGGCTGAGCTGGGCTTCCACTGAATGGGTGGCTAGAGAGCTCCCACACAAGGCTCTCTATTCTGAAACCGCAGTGCTGTGCTCTTCCTTTTTCCCATCTGGTGGAAGAACACCGTTTCTTTGTTAAGAAGTTAATAGAGGGGTCCTGGTGCTGCAGTACCTCAAATTCTCTATCCAGGCTAGGGGCAGAGGGTGCCCTTCTTTCTGGTGTCTGTCATCCTTGACCGTGGTGCCCAGGATTTTTAAGTAACCCCCTCAATGCTGGTGGAAATGACAGCTTAGCTGACCATGGGATGTTGTCCTTCCTTCCCCAGCACACAGAGCTTCTTGCAGTCATCCAGGACTGGGCTTTCCCCAACTGAGTATCTCTAAACACAACTAGTTGCACAAAAGGCAGGAGGGAGGGAGGGGGAGGGGAGGAGGAGGGGAGGGGGAGGGGCAGGGGGAGGGGGGAGTAATTCTTCCCAGCACCAGTTTGCACCACAACACAGCTTCTCCTCCTCTGGGTTCCTAAAATTCCTCCCTAATGAGTTACCCAAGTCCTCACAAATGTCCTTGCCATCCCTGCTCTCCACTGTCTGGCATCTCTGAGTCAGCCTCGATGATGTGTGTAATCACCGCCCCTCCTCACTGATAAAGTTCCAGATCTCCGCTGTCGGAAACGGTGTTCACGTCTCTTCGGCTCTTTTCTAGGCTACCCTGGGATAAGCAAAGGAGGGAGTAAGGGCATAAGGGCCGAGAGATGCCTGAACAACCTGAACAAACTTGAACAGGTTGTTGTTAGATCTCACTGGGCCAGGAGCTGAGTCTTTTCTGCCGGGTGCCTGAGCCGGCCAGCTGCAGAGCCACAAGGAAATAATCCCAGCGGGAGTTCTCCACAGCTGCTTGCTCCTGGCAGCCTCGCTGCAGGTGTTTCCATACCCGTTTCCTCTCCTGTCTGGGGCTTTTAGCAAGCCCACAGAAGGGCGGTGGAACTCCCCAGAATCCATTCTCTGCGGCTTCAGGAGAAAAAGCCCTCTGGACCAACCAAGGTCTATTCTGGGCAGCAAAGGGTGTGAGTTAGTCCTTTGTCCATTGTTTTGACCAAGACAGCAAGGCCAAAAGTACTGAGCAGCATCCCTTGCCACCTTTGCTTCGGGAAGCATTTCCACAGAGAGCCAGGGCAGTAGGCGGGGACTTTTGGAACGGTGAGGGATGGAATCCAAGTTCAGCCAATGGGAGCCAATTCGCCTGGTAGCAAGGCTCTCCTGGATGTGCACTGGCCCTTTGTAGAGTGAACGACCTTGAAGGCCCATGTCTCCACGGTCTCTCCCAGGAGTAATGGAAATCCTTAGAAAGATTGAGAAGACAGCAGAAGGACAAGGGTTTTGCATCTGGGACGGCTTCTACAGGCCCATGTCTTATGGGTTTGGCCTTTGGTTGGCAAGACTATTTCTGAAGGCTAAGGAACCTTCTTTATGGAGGTTCTAGCTGGCAGATGGAGTCCTCTAAGGGAAGGCTTTTGAAGACATCACTCAATTCCAGTTTTGGTGTAGCTCCCTGATTGCCGATAAGACGGGATGGAGAGTACTATTGCTTCACATTCCCACCAGAGCAGATGGGGTGGTCCCAGCAGCTCCCCGATGGTGATGGACCACACCCACTGAAACCGTGAGCCATACCGACCCTTTTCCATTAAGTTGAATCTGTCAGGTACTGTGTTGCACGAATAAGAGATGCAGCTAACACGGTGCCTGATCCAGACGGTGTGCCTGCTGTCTTTTGCTCAAGTTTGCTGCTACCTGGCCAGAACGTAGCCTCTTCCTCCGTCATTGGGACAGCGCTGGGAGAAGTGATGAGTGGACATGGCCAGTTTGATTCTTTCCAGGGCCATAGTTCAATTTTAAAAGCCATTGTCACCTTCCAAAGAACAGACAGGCTGACAATGAAAAGGGAAATCAAGAGACGGTGGCTGTTTCTGCTGACTTTCGGCTCTTTGCTGTGTCCGGAAGAGGCGTTGTTCAGCGCTGTTGTCAGATACTGGCCTGTGATTGGCATGGATTTATTCAGGTTTGAACTAATTTTGTGAACATCTTGCATGACACTGTTAAGGGAGACTCCCACCTGTGGTGTGATAGGAAATGGTAAGCTCCTTCTGTTTCCGGGATGTCTGTAAAGCCACAGGAACCCAGGCTTTGCTGTCTGTTAATATCACTGCCTGTTGGCGTGTCGTGATCTCTCTCTCCTAAGTCTTTGTTGCAGTTGGTATGAACACAGAGACCCCTCAACTGGTGGAAACCACATCTAAACACTTTCCATGGTTATCACCCTGGACTGATCTTAGCCAAGGGGCATTCTTACTGTGATTTTTTTGCTTGTTTCCTACTATCTGTTGTTATTTTGCCTAAGATTAGAAATTAGAAAAAGCGGGCGAAAGGTGAAACATGAGCGCGAGGACGGAACCAGGACCGGCGGGACAGACGAAGCACAAGCCACGGAGAGTATGCTGACCATAGTTTATTATAGCAGAGGGAGACCAAATGGGGGGAGACAGACATAACAGAGAGAGAGAGAGAGAGAGAGAGAGAGAGAGAGAGAGAGAGAGAGAGAGAGAGAGAGAGAGAGAGCGTGAGTAAGAGAAGAGTGAGGTGAGGCATATAGGAGAGGAGAGGAGTGGGATCAG